AGAAAGAGAGGAAGGCCACATGCTAGATGGATGGCCTCTATTGAGAACACAGGTATGAGTTTACAGGATCTAAGCAAAGCAGTACAGGACAGGGAGCCATAGAGATGTCTCATCCACAGGGTCACCATGGATCGAAATCGACTCGGGGCAGTTAACAACAGCAACATTGAGGGAAGCAAGTGATCAGGACAGTTTAATTCAGTTATAATATTGTTAATATAAAGATTGAACAGGAGGGGTGCTAACAAGTAGCCTTGTCTGACTCCTCTTGTTATCTGAATTTTCTCCGTCAAACTTCCATCTCTGCTAGTAACAGCCTCTTATTGCTATTAGTCCTGTCAAGCTTATTCCACAAACAATTCCTATTGAATATATCAAAAGATGAGTAGTCAATAAACACAGCAAAAAACCATTTGGAAGGATCACTAGTGTATTTATGGATTTAATGATGTCGCACAAAAATTTGATCTACTGTACTGTGGCCCTAAACCCAGCCTGTTCCTGATGAAGAATATTTTCTTCCACACAAATTATCAGTTTCTGGAGAAGGAGATATCTGTAAATCTTAGAGCTAATATCCTATAAACTGATAATTCTGAGAGTTCCATTCATCTCTTTTTTTATAATTTGGGAAGGTTATTCTCTGCTTCCATCCTTCAGGAAAAATGCATTTGGTAACAGAACAGCCCACCATTCAGAATTGTTGTAGAACTCTGATGGAGTCATATCCTCATTAAGTGTTTTGTCTGTTGCTAGAACACATATGAGTTTGCTCATTTCTTGTTCTGAGACTGGGGTCATTCTGGCAATGCCATTAACAAAGCCTATTAGTGCTTGATTCATTAAAATTGCTGTCTACATCATTTTTGAAAATATTGCTAAAGTACATCAAGTATTAGTTGAAATGTAAGCATCCAACATGGGATTATAGCCCATATCTGATGTTGAGATCAAGTTCCAAAACCTTTTTTTTTTGTTCCTTTCCAGAGCTGCCAACCCCAACTCCTTCCACTGAGCAATCATAAATGTCCTTTGTTCCTTCATTAATAAATCCTTATAAGTTGGGCAGCAGGAAACCAGTGCTTCCAAATCAGCTTTCAACTGTATCTGCCTTACTCTCCTGGTTAGTTAAGCCATATTCTTTTTAGCTTGCCTACATTCATTATCATACAAATTCACTTTGCCAGAGGCCATTCTGTGGACTGTTTTAGTTAAAATTGGGCCTTAGGAGTTCAAAAATAGTCATAATACCTTGTACAGGATCTATATACCCTTTGACAATCAGAAGCTAAGAACTATTTCAGATGATCTTGGAATGTTAACAGAAGAAGGCCATTTTAAGTGTTTCCCCATAATAACTCTTTCATCAGCCATATCAATAGGTGGAGGGGCAGCTGATGAGCTAATGTAGAAATGGACAAGAATGATCACCTTCTGGGCAGATTAAAATATTATAGCTCATCCTATAGGACAATAACTTTGATGAGCAGAAGATATAATCAATAACACTATGTACACTGCTGTTAAAAATGTAAAATTGTAGGTATGTCAACTGCAAACAGGACATTAATCAAATAATATCCTGCCTTCTTTATTTTCAACTTTGTCTAAAGAAAAATGGTCAGTTAAAAAATTACATTCCAGGCTGTGATGATCTCTGAGCTCAGCAGCCAAGCACAGCAACTCTGTTCTGGCTCTTTGCACATAGAAGTTCAGTAGTCCCCAATATCCTTGATCCCCCTTCCCACTCCTGCTGAACTGAATGGGACCCCTTGAGACCATAGAGTGAAGCTCCCACCACCTGATGAATTACAATGAGACCTTAGCAACATATCAGGACTTTGCTAAGTGAGTTATTGTGTTCCTTTTTCCTTTGCTAACTTAAACAGTCTAGAAGTCAATGCACATGTAGAAGGAGTGTAGAGGAAGCAAGGTACCTTTAAAGAAAAGCTTTATTCTAACCATGGAATTTTAGAGCAAAGATATCATTTACATGTAGGACCTCCTTGTCCCACAGGTAGAGTAATGTAGTTGCAGAAAATAGTCATTTCAGCAAACCAAAAGAGGAATCAAAACCTAATGCCACTAGCTAACACAGTTCTCAAATTCTACTCACAACTCAGATGGGATTTGCAATCTTTGATGTTCTGGATGCCGGGAGCCTGGACTCCATGTCTACCAGCCTGGTCATCTACCCTCAAGAGCAGACAAAGGAAAGACTCTGGGGGCCTCGGCAG